GCCGTATAAACTGGACCACAAAAATCAACGCTACATTTTCCCATAATTCATAATTCATCAGTCGAGGCTTGCATTGAAAGCACCTCCTCAGTGCTTTTTTTCATCCTTCAAAAACGATGGTCCAGAAAACCAGATTGACTGTACGATTTTGTCAATGTCACAATCTCTTGATACAATATCTGCTGGGTTCTGTTTGGTTACGACATGCCGCCAATAGCTTCACCTCACCACTCTTGACGACAACAATTCTGTGACAGAGATCTGCGAGAAGGTGAGCGGCACACAACTCAAGCCTCGGGAGCGTTTTAGTCTTGAGCGTCGCTAGTTTGGACTTTAAATTCAACTACGATAATTTAAAACCTTCTGCAGTTTTGCTACGAGGATAAACGCAAGCTCCAAAAGCGCTCGTGGATGCGTCGGCAAAGGCATGTAATTGAAACGGTGACCTTGGATCGGTATACACAAACCGAGGAATAGATATCATGAGATATCTAATTGAGTATTGTATGCTGTTTCCAAATGCATCGGAATTGACTCATTCCAATCCAACTTATTAAGCCAAAGTCCGTGCATTGGGATCTTTTCTTTAATTACTATAGTACTTAATATGGCAAGGTGGTCGAACAGCTTCGAGGTCACCGGAGACCCATAACAGTTTGAAACTTAAACGCATTTTCTTTAGGCAGCCACGATATTCCTAACGCCTTAGTTGACTCTGAATCCGAGATAAGTATGGATTTGACTGTGCTCTCAGATGCGGTTACTTCAGGTGAGTTAGAAAACCACTTTGTCAATTCAAATCCTGAAGTTTTAAGAACCTGAGACATTTCAGACTTAATAGCCTTTAGCTCCTCTACGCATGCAAGACCAGTCAACATATATCGACGTAATAACTTCAGAAGCTCTAGGGAATGCAAGTTTTGCAGACTCGCTTAACCTTTTTAAACACCGAATAGCTAGAATAGCTAGATTGTCGGCCCTACCATCAAAATGTCATTCAAGGCCACCTGAGATGACGTTTTACACGACGCGTCAAAAACGACCATCAGTTAGGTCGGCGTACTCTAGGGCCTTTCAAATTAATTTCCTTACCCATTTGGATCAGATTTAAACGGCATACTTACTTCAAACCGACCTGATGGCAATACCTGAGATGTTTTTCGGTTATGTTCTTCACATAACTTATGCTCAGGTGATAATATTTTCATAAAAGATGGTTTTTCCCCTAGTGACCAAAACTTCTGCAGTTTGGTATCATTCGATACTAAAGGCTCTTCACTGCAACTGAAACTATTCACAACACTTTGAGAAGCACATGTCTTGTATCTTCCACAAACAACCCAACCTAGATCTTGTTTAATTTGGCCAACAGCTGAAAATTCGAAAAACGATTCTGGCCTATAGAAATATTTGTCTGCTAATCGTAGGCTAGTTGGAATTCTCCAGTTATCCACGTTCACAGACTGGTCAGGGTGGTACCCTAAGATCGGTCCAAAATATATTCACCGTTTTTAGCTCGGACACTTACTAACGATCGACTTAGCCAAAATAACCCTATCTAATGATGTCGCATACATAACATGTGAGTTATAATGGTTATCTTAATTTACAGGAGTAGATAAATTCTCTTGGGTGGTGACAAATCTAAACTGTTATCAGACACCGTGTACCTGTGCAGCAAATTGTGATGCGAGCGGCCACATACTCTACATTAATTGCTTTTGCACATTACAACAGCGTGACTTTTTCGCAGACAGTTGATGCATAATGAAGCAGTCTTGACAAACTCAAAGCTCTGCATTACTGTGAGACGACCAAACGTTCGCTAGGAAATGATCTTCAGCATTGCAATCGCTACATGTTTGCTGGGTTTTACTGTTGGAGGAAGAACACGAAAATTAGCCACGGTTATGTTGTTTGCTCGACATTGCTTTGCCTTGTTATGGCTTGGACGAATCTTCAGCGGATAAATGCTGATATCGGCGATTGTAAGTTTTATCAAAATCAGACCAATGAGGCAAGTTTCATATTCTAGCTGTTCTTCTCATTTCGGGATTTTGTTATCGTCTCCTATCGATAGCAAAGGACCGGTGAAACGGTATCGATAAGTTTTGTAGGGACGATGCGGGCTACTGTGAAATTTTAGAAAGACTAAACAATGTCGAAATATTGTTCATGAAAATTCAAAATTCGTTATCGTACATTTTTTTAAGACTGGTCATGGCTTTTTCATAGATGCTCCCGGTGACTTGGTATGCCTTGATGGTTTCTAAGAAATCACTAGAGAGAACAACATCAAGCTTGCAGTTTCCGCTTGAATCGAAACCGACCCCGAATCTACCAGTTCTTCCAAGCGACAAATACTTCTGAATCGGCTTTTAAGGTTTTGTTTTTAAGGTCTTCCAAAACTGATTTATTTTTTAATTTTTCAGATTTTCTTACTTAATTCAAAAAAAAATTTTAAAAAAACCCAAGCAATGAAAATTATTTTATTATTATTATTTAAAAATATTCTTTAATTATTTGTTCGAAAAAAAAATTTTTAATTATTGTTCAAATAAGAACAATCGACGAGAAAAAAAAAGAATTGATTGTCGAGGCACGAGGCATCTAAATTAATACCGATTGCAGGGTAGCGCCTCACTTGGCAGACCGCGTATCTCCAACGCGCCAAAACGAAAAAATCCATATATATTAAAATATATTGTGCAAATTAGATTTTTCACTTTGGAATATATTAAAAAAAAGCGATTTTTATTTTAATATACAGTAGAGTTTTATTGGCAATGTCTTAATAGTTAGATTCCCAAAATTGAACTGTCTCTACAATTGCATTATTCTTATAACTATGGCTTTTATCGGTGACAGCGACGCTAGCAGCGAAAGTGGACTTCGATCAGAAGATTTCGATTGGTTGAATTGGTGGCCTGATGGGTAGGTTGTCTTTTGTTTATTAAATTTGGATTGGTCAAAGCTTTTATGCTGATGAATGGGTTCTCATGCTGGACCCTTTGTTTAAAAGTTTACCACTTGTTTATGTCTGCTGTCGGCGGTAAAGGCGTGTGAAATGTTTATAATAAGGGGACTGTTGATAACAGGCGTGGGAAATGATAATGTCTGATTAATTTGAATAACTCCTATAGTAGGCTCTGAAATGTTATGTTTGACAACTGAAATAATGGGTATCTCGGGATATACAGGCTGGGTGCTATGTTTGACAATTGAAGTAATGGGTATCTCGGGATATTCAGCCTGGGTGTTAGGCTTGATGTCTGGAGTATTTGGTAATACGTCACTCGCCCCTCCTTTAGAACATTCAACATCCTTGTTGAATCTAACAAAAATTTCTTTTTTGTTGGCTAGGCGCCTGTAGGTAAATATGATGTAAGTAGTGATGGTTAAAACTATAATTATTAATATTGTGAATACAATCCACTTGTATATTGTTTATTGCTTTTCTTGATAACTAATTGATTTCTTAATTTTTAATAATGGAATTGGTTCATATAATGTTACATTCGTGCTAGATAATATAATTTTATATTCGTTTATAATTTTTGAAGTAGTAAATTTTATGTTTCTTATTTCTAAAGTGCATTGACTTATTGTTGTTTCCCTGCATCGTTTTGTTGAATATTTCCCAATCTTGTTTAATTTGTGTTGTGACGACCTGATTTCTATGTATTCTCGCTCGCTACGTTAACGGGCGGCTAGCTCAGAGAGGTTATGGGTTCGTTCCACCAAATTTATATTGGGTAATTGCCTTTGACCAATGAGTAACGCAAGAGTTCTGTTGGGATCGTAACTGTCTTTATTCGTCTCCTTGTACAAGCCTCGCGGCTCTTCAGCTGCTGCTGCTTCTCGTCGTCGTCCTCTGCAGCGTCGCTCCTCGCTGGTATCTGACTCGTGACGGCTCCTTCGAGATTCTGGATATTATGCGAACCTCACTGTCGGGACCGGCAAGGTGTTTCGCCTAGCAGGTAGAACGCCGTTCTGCCTTTTCGCCTAGCCACCTTTATCGCAGGCTCCCTAAGTTGGTCCGGATTGTGTCGGCAAGGTGTATCGCCTAGCAGGTAGAACTAGGTTCGACATCTTCGCCCAGCCACCTTTATCGCAGACTCCACGCAAGGACTCCCTGAGCTCGATTTAACCACGACCTAGCACCCGTTGGATCTCAGCGTTGAAGTCTCAGCCTTGTAGACTCTCAGTCGTTCGGCGTCTCGACTTTGCGATCTTGATCCTGGTACTCGGCACTTGATTAACTTGCTACTGGTCTCGCGTACACGCACTCGCTTTGATTCTTGCACTATTACTTTCCCCGAGTGCTGCGCTTGCGCCGCCTTTTATAGCCAGTGATGGTCCCCTTATTTCCCTTTTCCAGCTCGCGTGATCGGGTCCAAGGTCCACTGCCGCACCGTTAGTTCACGGTGCGTCCTCTTTGTGCGGGTCCGAAGTCCGCCAATTTACCGTTCAACCCTGTTGCCCTTGCCGTGGGAGGGTCCAATGTCCAGCGTGGTACCGTTAATTCACGGTGTCTCCGCTTTGCCCGGATCCAAGGTCCGTTGTTTACCGTTTGAATTTGTGGGGAGTTTTAAGACTCCTCACATTTCCCCCTTTCTTCGGAAATGTTATGAGAGTGGTGATCTCCCCGCCCCTGTTGTTCGTTCATTCAAAATCCCCGCACAAACTCGTTCTCCTCGTGACCCTATACAGTTCCCCAAAAGACTTCAACTTTCTCTGATTCCCGTCGTCTGGCCACTCTACTGACCACATCTCGATCGCACTTATCGATAGTGGTTCCAGCATTGCCATCGTTGTTGCCGTTATCGTTTCCGTTGTCTTAAGTTTCCTCCGTGTGACCGTTTTTTCAGAAATCCATATCGATCGACAGCCTATCGCCTGGCGCCCCCGTCCCTAATTTCTCACGGTCTCGTTGTTTTGAAAAAAACTGGTAAGTAAACTTGCGGCTTGTAGTTTTGCTTTAATAAACTACTTTTTCTTTACAGCGACTCCATGACCATAATGCCCCTGATGCCCCTGACATGTCTCAGGGTGCTGACCCTGGACCGCGTGCCCCGGGAGACCCTTGCGGCAGCAAGTGACCCCCCCCTTCGCCATACACCTACGGCAGCCTCGTGTTTTCTGCCAGCCCGCGTGCTTGGTCCGCGATTCCCCGCGGTTCCGCGCCCTCCGACTGCTGTCTCCGCAGCGTCGGCCTCGCCGGTGAGGCTCGCGACTCCGGGCACGAAGTCTGCCGCTCCAGCTTCGGGGGGTGGCGCCGTGTCCCGCGACGTCTCGGGCGGTGTTGGCCACTCCCATGGCCCCTTCTCCAGCCCCTCCTGGGCCTCGCGTTCCTCCTCGGTCGTCACCTCCAGCCCCTCGCGATCGGCCGTCTCCGCGACGCGTTTCGCCGACTTGGCCCTCGAATCGCGCGGGTTCAACGGCGGTGGGCGGCGCCACTCGATGGCTTCGATGGCTTCGATGGCCTCTCGCATCCTGGCCTCCTCTGCTGCCTCCTCGGCCGCTTGCGCGACATGCGCTTGTGGCAGGTGCCACTCATGCTGCCTCGGCGGCGACAATGGTGGTGGTGATGGTGAGTTTGGCAGCGGTGACGGCGATCGTGGTGGTGGCGTCGGCGAACGTGGTGGCGGTAGCGGCGGCTGCGGCTGCCCCTGCGGCGGCTGTGGCTGCTCCTGCGGCGGCTGCGGCTGCCCCTGCGGCGACTGCTGCACTCCTCGCCGCCCGCCGGGCCTCCCATTGGCGGACAGTGACCGCCCGCGCCTCCAGGATCCGAGCCCACTCCTTGGGCTTGCCCGACGGTGGTATCTGCCCTAGGCAGATCCTCCCGAGCCCTGCCGTCGCCCTGCTCAACCGGCGGAAGACCATCCGGTCCCTCGCAGCTCGCCGCGCCACGTCGGGACTGACGGTCTCCGTCCCCTCCTCCTCCTCCTCACTCGCGTCCTCTGGTCCACTCTCGTCAAAGGAGATGGCGACGACCTCTGCGATCTCCGTCGCGTCTGCGCCTGGGTCCTCCTCCTCGGACGGCAGCTCCACGTCCAAGATCTCCCCGGTGGACTCCTCGTCAGCCTCGCTGACCGGTGACGGGGATCGCGACACCAGGGGGGACGCCAGAAGCTGGAGAACGGAATCGGAGTCCCGTCTCCGTTTCGCCACTGGCTGTTCCCTGGCGCGCTCCTCCCTCAGCTCGTGCTCCACTCGCTGTTGGGTGTTGCTCTTACGTGCGCTCATGATGATTATCTTTTCTGGAAAGACCTGCAACATGCAGCGCCGTCGCTGACGAAATCTCGGCTCTTCCGCGTATCCTCGGTTCCGTTATTCGCGGAGACGTGTACCGGTAACGGGACTCGCTCTCCGCTATGTGTCCGTGTAACGTTTAAAAGTAACGGTGCCCTCCAAGTACACGCCTCCTACGAAACCCGTGCATGAGTGTGTTTAGCCGGTAACGGTGCCTACGGCTTTTTAAACCCTCCCTGTCCCGCTCTCGCGCTCCTGATGTGTGTGCCTGTGTGTATCGTCCTCCCCCTTTCTTCGGTAAGGGTACAGTGCTCCTCCGATACGCCTGATTTGCTTAGACTGCCCCTCTTTGCTTTGGGGTTTTAACTGGCTTATGTGTGTTTTCCTTTCTTTGCCCGTGTGTTCGTGCCGCAGGTTGCAAATAACCGGAGAATCGAAATTAATTATTTTAAACGGTCTCTCGTATCTGGAGGCCAGTTTCGCCGCGAATCCTTCTGCCGCCTTGGATAGATGGTGCTCCTTGGCCGATACCGTGTTTCTAATCTGTGGTTTCCAAGGGCGACTCCGGAGATTGTAGTGGCGCGCCTGATCCTGCGCCGCCTTCTCCATGTTCCGTCTGACCAGCTCGAGATTTCGTTTATTTTTTTCGCATTCTCCGACGGGGTCTGGGTTTCCCTTTCTGTGCCGGCGGTTTCTTCATCGAACAACGCGCTCGGTAACCTGGGCTCTCTACCCTGCGTGACGAATGCCGGCGAATACCCTGTGGACTCGGCTACACTAGTGTTCACGGCCAGCTGCAATTCTGGCCATTTCTCATCCCACGTTCTCTGGTCTTGTCCGGCAAACTGGGCGATCATTGTTTTTACAGTTCTATTGGCTCTCTCCGAGGGGTTTTCTTGTGGTGTGTACTGGGCTGTGAACTGGTGCCGCACTCCCAACTCTGTCAAGAACCGCTTGAACGCCCTGCTCGTGAATTGCACCCCGTTATCTGTGATCAAGACCTTCGGCACGCCGTACCTTGAGACAATCCTTTCCCGGATTGCCTTTTCCAGCGTCTCCGTGGTAGCCCTACGCATTGGCACTATTTCCGTCCACTTCGAGAACCGATCTACGAGCACTAGTAGCATCTTCGTTGCCTGCTCTGTGAGGAATGTGCCGGTACAGCCGGTCGGCCTCCACTTAATAGTCCGGATGTTTTTGGGGGTTCTGTGCTTTCTTGCCCCTTATGTCCCTTATCCAGGTACATTCGGCTTGTTCTGCTGACTGACCAGGTGACTTCGTTTTCAACCTTCGGCAGGTTTCAGGTAAGGGCTGCCGCGACAGTGCGTCCGCCACAATATTCAGCTGGCCTTACCTGTATGTGATTTCGAAGGCGTATTGCTGGAGCTCCAGTGCCCACCGCGCGATTCTTCCGGTTGGGCTCTCGATGCTATTCAACCACTTCAAGGCCATGTGATCTGTTATCACTTTGAAGTGGTATCCCTCCAGGTATGGCTTTAATTTCCTTATGGCCCACACGATTGCTAAACATTCCTTTTCAGTGACGGAGTAACTTTTTTCCGACCCGTTTAGGGTCCGGCTGGAATAGGATATCACCCGCTCACCCTGATCGGAATTTTGAGTGAGAATGGCGCCCAGTCCATAATCACTGGCATCGGTCTGCAGCACAAACGGCTTTGTAAAATCCGGGCATGCCAAAATTGGGTCGGCGGCCAATCTTGCCTTGACAGCTTCAAAGGCCTGCTGGTGGTCGTCGGTCCATTCCCATTTGACACCCTTTCGGAGAAGGGCGTTCAGCGGATGCACTAGCGTGGCAAAATCTGGCATAAAACGCCTGTACAACGACGCCACTCCCAAGTACTGCCGTAGTTCTTTGGCAGTTGCCGGTGGTTTTAGCAATGCTATCGCTGATACCTTTTCCGGATCCGTCCCGATGCCTTGGTCTGTAATGCGATGCCCTAAGTATTGAAGTTCCTTCCTGAAGAATTTACACTTATCAGCGTTTACTTTTAGGTTTGCCGCTCGCAGTCTTCTGAATACTTCCTTTAGGTTCCGCATGTGCTCCTCCTTCTCCTCCTCCTCCTCCTTCCGTCCGATGACGATAATATCATCCTGATACGCGAAAGCGTGCGGCATCATTTCGGGTCCAATTACCTGGTCCAACGCCCGCTGGAACGTTGCTGATGCCGAGTGTAACCCGAAAGGCATAACTTTCCAATGAAACTGACCTTTCCCTGGCACTGTGAATGCGGTGTACTTCCAACGGTATCTGCCAGTACCCGTCCTTTAAGTCGAGGCTGCTAATATATTTCGCTTCTCGGAGTTGGTTCAGGATGTAGTTGATCATCGGCATTGGATGTGCATCCTTCACGGACTTTGCGTTGATCTGCCTGAAATCCACACAGAGCCTCCATTTGCCGGTCTTCTTTCTCACCATGACTATTGGTGAGCTGTACGGACTCCTTGACGGTTCGATGCAGCCCTTTTCAAGTAGCTCGTCTACTTTGGCGTTGATCTCGCCCTGCATTTTTGGATTCTTCGGATAGTACCGCTGTTTGACCGGCTGATCGGTCTTCATGGTGATCCTGTGTACTGCCACGTTTGACGTGCCTTGCAGATTTTCCAGGCTCTCCAACTCGGTCTTTAAAAACTGGTCCACATCCTTCTCCGAAAATTCCTTTGCGGCTTCCACGACTGCTACCGACAGTTTTTCCTTTAGCCAGCCTCGGTGTCTGTCCCTCGCCGGTATCATCACTCTGTGACCTGCGCATTTCACCTCGGCTCCGATTTTGGTGAGGAAGTTCCATCCTAGCACCAGTTCGTCGATCACTTTTCTTGTGCCAAGTCCGATTTGAATTTCTAACTGCGATTTTACGTCTCCGCATCTACCGTCCGCCATCCGTACTTGCCTCTTTGTGGCTCCAACCTTTCCTGCAGCCTGTCCGCCAGCTCTTTGCTGATGAAACTCGCTGTCGCGCCGGTGTCCACCGTGGCCTTAACGTTCGCGTCACCTATGAGCACTGTGGCGGACAGTTGCATTTCTTCCGCCTTCAGGTCGCCCATTATTTTTGAGAGGCAGCACCTTACGATCCCTGGCCGCCCCTCGGAGGCTGGGATCGTTGCGCGTTTCCCGAACAGCACTCCACCGTTCGGACGCTTATCTTTCCGCACCGCCAGCAGAATGTGAGTCGCCGGTTCCGGCACTCCTTCGTCCAGTGGTCCGCGCCCCCGCATCTGCGACACGCGTTGGCCGGATTCTGTATAAATCCACTGCGATCGGCTGGTGGTCCGTGTTCCTGCGGCGTATGCCTCCGTGTCCTCCTGGCACCGCCTACACACCGCACCCTGCTCTGCCCTTGGCCTTGGCACTGGGCGGTTCTTTGGTAGTGGTTTTCCATTTCAAACTTCTCCCGTTGCTCCTCCAGCTCCTCGAACTCGTCTGCCAGCGCCATCAGGGTGTCCAGGTGCCGACACTCTTACGACCGGATAAACATTCGGAGGGCCGGCGTGTGGTTCTCCTTTATCCTGTTCAGGACTTCTTTGGCAGACATTCCCAGGGGCCGCATCATCGTCTGCATGTCCACCATGTAATCTTTAAATTTTTCCCCGTATGTCTGCCTCCGCTGCCTGACCTGGTCCGCTAGCTTCTCCATGTAGCCTCGAGGAAGGAAATATCCTGGGAAGCTGAATATGAAGTCTCCCCAGTTGTCCCACTGCCGGTTGTTGGCTATGAACCACTTTAGGGCTCTGCCCTGCAGCAGCTCCGCCATTGCTCGTCGGATCTGGTTTATATCCAGACCATATGTCACGGCTGACCACTCCACCTGCTCCACGAACTCCAGTGGCTTGTCGTTGCCGTCATACCGAAAGGTCACTCTCGGACTTGCTTGGCCACCTTGGCGTAGTCCTGCGGATGTGGCCGTACGCTTTCTTTCCTCTCGCGGCTGCTTTCTCGCTGCCTGCCACGACCGGGTCTTCTGTTATGCGGTCAACCGTCTCTACCATGGTCTTCCTCATCGCCTCTACCGAGCCATCAAGTTCTATTCCCAGAACATTGCTCACCTCGGCGAAGTCCTCCTTCCTGAGATTATAAATCCAGGACTTTCCCATCTTTGATCTTTTGTTCTCTTGGTCAGGGCAATCACTCATGGGCGCCAGATGTAACGACCTGATTTCTATGTATTCTCGCTCGCTACGTTAACGGGCGGCTAGCTCAGAGAGGTTATGGGTTCGTTCCACCAAATTTATATTGGGTGATTGCCTTTGACCAATGAATAACGCAAGAGTTCTGTTGGGATCGTAACTGTCTTTATTCGTCTCCTTGTACAAGCCTCGCGGCTCTTCAGCTGATGCTGCTCCTCGTCGTCGTCCTCTGCGGCGTCGCTCCTCGTCGCTGTCCTTCGCGGCGTCGCTCCTCGTTGTCGACTGCTTGCTGGTATCTGACTCGTGACGGCTCCTTCGAGATTCTGGATATTATGCCAACCTCACTGTCGGGACCGGCAAGGTGTTTCGTCTAGCAGGTAGAACGCCGTTCTGCCTTTTCGCCTAGCCACCTTTATCGCAGGCTCCCTATGTTGGTCCGGATTGTGTCGGCAAGGTGTATCGCCTAGCAGGTAGAACTAGGTTCGACCTCTTCGCCCAGCCACCTTTATCGCAGACTCCACGCACGGACTCCCTGAGCTCGAATTAACCACGACCTAGCACCCGTTGGATCTCAGCGTTGAAAACTCAGCCTTGTAGACTCTCAGTCGTTCGGCGTCTCGACTTTGCGATCTTGATCGTGGTGCTCGGCACTTGATTTACCTGCTACTGGTCTCGCGTACACGCACTCGCTTTGATTCTCGCACTATTACTCTTCCCGTGTGCTGCGCTTGCGCCGCCTTTTATAACCTGTGATGGTCCCGTTATTTCCCTTTTCCAGCTCGCGTGATCGGGTCCAAGGTCCACTCCCGCACCGTTAGTTCACGGTGCGTCCTCTTTGTGCGGGTCCGAAG